CAGGACTGCAAACACGTCCTTGCTTCACACTCTAGGGTCTTCTAGATTCCTTCTTGGAAATAAACCACAAACATAAACATCCACACTCGTTTCCCTTTAGAAATTTTCGTATCCGTTCTTGGAAATAATCACAGCAAGATAAACACGTCCCTACTCTTTACGTAAACGCTTTGTAAATCAAAGATATACACGTCCCTACTCTTTACGCTGTGTAAATCAAAGATATACACGACCCTACTCTTTACGCTGTGTAAATCAAAGATATACACGTCCCTATTCTTTACGTAAACGCTTTGTAAATCAAAGATATACACGTCCCTACTCTTTACGCTTTGTAAATCAAAGATATACACGCCCCTACTCTTTACGTATACGCTGTGTAAATCAAAGATATACACGTCCCTACTCTTTACGCTGTGTAAATCAAAGATATACACGACCCTACTCTTTACGTAAACGCTTTGTAAATCAAAGATATACACGACCCTACTCTTTACGCTTTGTAAATCAAAGATATACACGACCCTACTCTTTACGCTTTGTAAATCAAAGATATACACGACCCTACTCTTTACGTAAACGCTTTGTAAATCAAAGGATCCTTTGAAATCGTCACAGAAATAAGTCTGCACACGCGATTTGGAATTTTGGTGAGGGTAGGAGAGATTTCTCCGCCACCAGCAATAGAGCGCCATGCGGGTATACAACAACTCGCACACGGGATTTGTGGAAACTGTCAGTTACACGGGTACTGTGAGAACTGCCGACACATTTACTGCAAGCGCCCACACGCGCACACACACACACACACACACACACACACACACACACACACACACACATAACACACACACACACACACACACACACATACATACACTCACGTACGATCTGACTCATCCCCGTTCCCATCTATCTTGAAAAATACAGCCCTCACCAGGACCCGGCTTAGACATTCCGAAAGCGGATGGATACCCAGAGACATCACCAGACACAATCACTTCCGGGACATGCGCAGTGGGACCAATCACAACGACGGTTATCGGGGCGAACACCACAATGTCTTAATGAACACTCCAATGTCTAATTTGAAAACCTGATGTTTTGACGAACACCCCAATGTCTTAATGAACAACCCAATGTCTTAATGAACACCCCAATGTCTAATTTGACAACCTGATGTTTTGACGAACACCCCAATGTCTTAATGAACAACCCAATGTCTTAATGAACAACCCAATGTCTAAATGAACACCCCAATGTCTAATTTGACAACCTGACGTTTTGACGAACACCCCAATGTCTAATTTGACAACCTGACGTTTTGACATGACAAACACCCCGCAGTCTTATTATTTGACACCCCGGTGTCTCAATGAGCAGCCCAGTGCCTTATTTGACACCCTGATGTTTTGACGAAATCCGAAGTTTATTTGACAACCTGACGCTTTGGGGAAAACCCCGATGTTTATTTCACAGCCTGATGTCTTCATGAACACCCCAACAGCTTATTTCACAACCTGGCGTTTTGACGAACACCCCGATGGCTTACTGCAGGGTTCCAGCTCGTGGCTTCGACTTCACCAGTGAGTCTCAACCCCCCTTCCCCCGGTACTGCCC